GACTCTGGGAACCATCTCTGTTGCCCAAAGGAGAAGATGGGGCCCGCATGGGGGACATCACAGGTGGGGAGCAAACAGCTTGCTCGAGGCTTGAACCTAGGCTTCTGACACTATGGGAAGTTTCCCCAACAACGTGTTGTTTCCCAAGACCAAAACCATGGTCAGGGGTACTGTGATGTCTTAGCTATGTCCCCTGCCTGGCACAGCGGCCAACACAGACAAGGTACACAGCAAACATCTGTCACCGTCCCCTCAGAGCCCCAAGGCACTGGAGGAAAACATTATCATGGTCCCATTTTTCCAGACCAGGAAACTGATACATAGAAAAATTAAATATAAGCCCGGAGTGATGGTGCACATCTTTAGTCCCAGCACTTGGGAGGCAGAGGCAGGCAGATTTCTGTGAAACCAAGGTCAGTCTGGTCTACATAGTGAGTTCCAGGCCAGCTGGAGCAACAGAAGACCCTGTCTCAAAACAAAATGAAACAAAACAACAACAGAGATAAAAAGAGAAAAAAGAAAAGAAAATTAAAAACAGGGCTGGGGATGTGATTCTGTCAGTACAGCACTTGCCTAGCATGCACAGAGCCCTGGATTCCATTCCAAGCATCCCTTAATCCAGATGTGGTTATTACAGGCGGAGGCCTGTCACCCCAGCATTGGGATGCTGAGGCAGGAGGATCAGAAATTCAAAGTCATCCTCAGCTACATGAGATTCTGTCTCAAAAAAGAAAGGAAGGGAGGGCGGGACAAACAGAAGGACGGAAGGAGAGAGGGAGGGAGGGAGGGACGGAGGGACAGAGGGACAGAGGGAGGGACAGAGGGAGGGACGGAGGGAGGGACGGAGGGAGGGAGGGAGGGATGGACAGAAGGAAGGAGGGAGGGGTGGACAGAGGGACAGAGGGAGGGCAGAAAGGCAGGAAAATAAAACATGGCTGGTGTGGTGGGTCATACATATCAACCCTGCATTTGGGAGGCTGAGGCAGGAGGATTGCCGTGAGTTCGAGTCCTGCTCACAACAGAGATACCACCAGGCTTCCTGTGTCCTGCTAACTGTTCCCCTTCTGACCATGATGTTTATGGTACCAAGGGCTGGCAGGTGAACACTCAGAGCAAGGAGGGGCTGCATGGAGGTCCTGCCTCCATGGGGCCCAAAGGCTCTATACCCCAGCTGCCTGTGGGTGGCACCAGGGGTATATCTGCCTTGACGACAATGGGTCATGGTTGGCTGTGGGCCCAACACCAGTCTACCATCTGCTAATGAAGGGAGGCACGCAGGAGGCAAACCTGCCTGGACCTCGGTCTCTCCTTCCCTCTAAAGCAGAGGATATGGGAAGGCGACAGGCTCCACTCCAAGCAAGTGAAACACAAAAACCTGAAACACAATCCTATCCATCAGCCAAGGAGCAAAAACGCACAAACACGCCTCCTGCTGGACAGAAGGAGCCAGCTCAGGTCCAAGGCTGGGGAGGGGGACCTGGCGCCACCTTGTGGATGGTGGTGAGGTGGCGCCTCTGAAGTTAAAACCATCCAGGGCTGGCTCAGCGGTAGAGCCCCTGCCTAGAGTACCCCAGTGAGGGACTGGGGTGTGGCTCAGCGGTAGAGAGTCTGCCTAGTATGTGCAAGGATTCTAGGTTCGATTCCCAGTACCTAAGTATATTAATGAATTAAATTAAATATGGATGGGAAAACAGTGGGAATTGGGGGCCAGGTTCTGGGGAGCTACCTTATGTGATAAGCCTATAAGATATAATTCTGCAACTAAGGTTCTGATAATTTGTGTTAAGACCTTTTAGAGAACTGAACCCAGGTCCTCTGCAAGAGCAACTGTTACTCTTAACCACTAAGCCACCACTCCAACCCCTGTGGTTAAGACTTTAATACACTGAAATCCTAAGTTTAGTCTGCAAAATGGAAAACTTAGGGCTGCCATTTGGACCCACAGCATGGCAGGCCACGGGCGAGATTATGAAGAGGCTGGGGTGACCACGGACATGTTCTGAATTTGTTTGCCAGTTGCTGGGTTGGAGAGAAAAAAGGCTGGGGAATTACTCAGTGGTGGCTGGGAAATCCGGTATGGGCAGGGCTGACATCGTCAGGTCTTCAACTCTCCACATTGGCACTGGAGCCAACAGCAGCTCCTGTGACTTCCCACAGCACCAGGGGTAAGAGGAGAGTCAGACGGCTGCTGAAGAGATGGCTTAGTGGTTAGAGCACTGGCTGCTCTTGCAGAGGACTCGGGTTGGATTCCCAGCACCCACATGGCAGCTAACAACCTTACCTAACTGCAGTTCCAGAGGATCTGATACCCTCTTCTGACCTACCCAGGCATTACATGACACAGGTGTACTTACATATATGTAAGTATATGTATATGTAAGGCAATACACTCATACACATAAAATAAAAATAATTTTTTTTAAATTAGGAGAGTCAGACATGAGGGAGGCCCAGCTCAGCCCCATACACCCTGGGGGGGCCCTCTCTCTCTCTCTCTCTCTCTCTCTCCTTCTCTCTCCAAAAGCTCAGGGAAGACCATAACATCCCCACCCCACAACTGAGATTCAGGCAGGCAAGGTGGCAGTGTCGGGTATTATATCACTACAGAGGCTGAGGCAGGAGGGTTGCCTTGAGGGAGAGGCCAGGCTGGCTACATTGTAAGTTTCAGAGCAGCCTGGGCTACATATGAGACTGTCTCAAAAGAAAAGAAAAACCAAAACAGAATTGTGGATGTAGCTCAGTGGCAGAGCACTTGCCTAGCATGCACAGTCCTGGGTTCCAAGCCCAGCACCCCATAAACCAGGCACTGTGGTACAAACCTGCCATATCCAGACTTAGGAAGCAGAGGCAGGAGGATCAAGGTCATCCTTGGCTACATAGGGAGTTTGAAGCCAGCCTGGGCTACGTGAGACCTTGTTTCAGTTTGTGATCTAGGTTCATTCAGTTGCAGTGGTAAACCCCCTGAACAAAAAGTCACTTAGGGGAGGAACAGGTTTATTTGGCCTCCAGCCGGTCCATCACTGAGGGAAGTGAGGGTAGGAACTCAAGCAGGACCTCAGTTAGCTTTCTTTTTTAAAAAAATATATATACTATTTTGGGGGCTGGAGAGATGGCTCAGCGGTTAAGAACACTGGCTGTTCTTACAGAAGACCCGAGTTTGAATCCCAGTGCCCACATGGCAGCTAACAACTGTCCGTAACTCCAGTCCCAGGGTATCCGACAGCCTCTTCTGACCTCCTTGGGCACTTCATGACACAGGTGTGCTTACCTACATGCAGGCAATACATGCATATACATTAACAAAATTTTTTTAAAAAGAAAAAATACCCTTTTTATTTATGTGTATGATTGTACTACCTGCATGTGTGTAAGTGCACCTGTGTCATGCAATGCTCACAGAAGTCAGAAGTGGGTGTTGGATCCCCTGGAACTGGAGTTACAGATGGTTGTTAGCCACCATGTGGGTGCTGGGAACTGAATCCAGGTCCTCTGCAAGAGCAGCCAGTGCTCTATCCACTGAGCCACGTCTCCAGGCCCTCAGTTACCTTTCTTATACAGCCTAGGCCCACCTGCCTAGGGATGATGCCACCCACAGTGGGCTGCACCCTCCTGCATCTGTTAACAGTCAAGACAGTTCTCAGACAAGCCACAGGCCAATGTAACCCAGGACCGTCTTCAGTTGAGGCTCCCTCTTCCCAGGTTTCACTAGGTTGTGTCATGTTGACAATAAAAACTAGCCAGAACATTCCACCCTCATCAGCTTGACACACAAACACATCACTGATAATCCATAACCTTTTCTTGTGTGTCCCCAGGATCTCAAGTTAATTTCACAACGTAAAACACCAAGTGAACTTCAGACCAAACCCTCTCCTGCAGTTTGAATCCCTCAAACACCCCACCCATCTGCCCAGGACCTCTGCATGAGCCATTCTGCTTGCCCAGACAGTTCTTCCTGATTTCACCAATGCTCACCCCTTCCCTTCTCCAAGCCTCCGTCCAAGCACCCCTGATTCCAGTCACCCCTCCCTGACCCTGGGTGAGCTCCAGGCCAATAAGAGACCCTGACTCAAAATATGCAGTGGGGATGACAAAATGGCTCAGTAGGTAAAGGCACTTGCTACATAATGCTGACAACCGAGTTTGATCCACCAAGCCAACCGTGTAAGTTGAAACTCAACTCCTGCAAGTTGCCCTCTGACCTCCACACTCATTGTGGCATACGTATGCATACACACACACACACACACACACACACACACACACACACATTAATAAATAAGGGCTGGCGAGATGGCTCAGTGGGTAAAGGTGCTTGCTGCCAATCCTGATGACCTGATTCAATCCCAGATATCCACATGGTGGAGGGAGAGAACCAATGCCCACAGGTTAACCTCTGACCTCCACATGTGCACCATGACACGTGTGTACTCCCCACACAGACACACAAATTAATAAAAATGTAATAATTTTTTTTGAGGCAAGGTCTTACTATGCAGCCCTGGCTGGCCCTATAGAGACCAGGTGGGCCTTAAACTCACAGAGATCCACCTGCCTCTGCCTCCCAAGTGCTGGGATTAAAGGCATGCACCACCATGCCTAGGTTATAATAAAAATTTTAATTAACTTTTTCTTTACGTGTGTATGTGTTTTGCCTGCATGACTGTAAGCACACACATGTGTACAACACCCACAGAGGCCAGAAGAGGGTGTCAGATCCACTGGAACTGGAGCTATGGTTATTAGCTGCCATGTGGATGCTGGGAACTGAACCCAGGTCTTCTGCAAGAACAACTGATCTTAACAACTAAGCCATCTCTCCAGTCCCAATTTAAAAAATTGAAACAATAGATTAAATTTTAAAACAATAATAAAAATACCTAAAAACAAGGTAGACCACTGATGTCCACATGTGCTCTCTTTCTGCCCCGCCCACGCAGAGCAGAGTGGCCCTGCCATGGCTGGCCTGATAGGGCCTGGCCGTGACCAGGTTCTCTCACCAGTGATCTCCTCAGGGAGGAAGCCCAGCACCCGCAGCGACTCCAGTGTCTCGTGGAACAGCTCCCGCTCCTGGCCGGGGGTGGACGATGGCCCATTGGTCAGGAAGCGGTAGTGCGAACAAGGCTCCAGAAGGAGGTCAGCTGCAGGGAGCAGAGGGCCGGGGTCAGGGACATGGAGGAGCCAGGGGTTGTGGATGGGGTCACCAGGTGACGGGGCTGGAACTGGCCAGCTAGCGCAGTTGCTCGGTGCACCATAGACTGTTCCTCTCAGCTCCTAGTCATTCTGGTGACCACCCAGAACAGCCACCTAACCAAGCATGAGTGGAGTTTGGTGTTGAAGGCCCCTACCAGAAGTCACAGTGTTGGGGCTGGGGTGTCAGGGGCTGGAACTATGAGGAGCAGAAACTGCAGAAGGAAATGGACTAAGAAACTATTAAGAACTGGGCTTCTCGGCATCTCGCCTGTCATCCTAGCACTCGGGAGGCTGAGGCAGGAGGATTGCGACGAGTTTGAGGCCAGTCTGGGGCTACAGCCAGATCTTGTCTCAAATGAGAAAGCAGTACAGGCGGTAGACACGCGTGGATGGGATTTCAGCAGCCAGGACCAGCGGCTGGGGACCGGGACCAGGGAACAAGAAGGGAGAGTGGGGGCTGCAGACACCAGGGGCTGTCGGAGAACCAGGGAAGGCAGCTTGGAGGCGGGGAGCAGCGGCACACAGAGGGCCAGCTGGGAGCAGGGAGAGGCCAGAGCGAGGCCGAGTCACCACCGGGTCAGGAGGCACAGCAGGGCCGCAGCAGGAGCGACAGCAGGAGTGACAGCAGAAGAGCTAGAGCCAGAGGGCTGCAGGCGGGGCTGGGAAGCCGCACACGGCGCCCACCCACGGCGTCCCGCGGCACACCACCCAGGGGCCCCACGGTGGCTCTGCCCGGGGTACCCCGATGTGGCTCCCACCCGCTCGCAGGGCAGCGCTAGCTGGTGGAGGGTGAGGCTGACCTTTGAGCTGCTCCCCAGCACCCCCTAGCAGTTGGTAAAAGATGTGGAAGCTGCATTCATCCTTGGCCTGGCGGATGGCCCGGGACTTCTCTAGCAGATCTGGAAGAAGAAGGGTCAAGGAGCCAAGCAGTGATCCCAGGAGTTGGGTGGCTTAGGCAGGAGGATTGCCATGAGTTCCAGTTGACATAATGAGTTCCAGACCAGTATTATTAGCTAGGAGCTGTGAGACAGTGTCTCGAAAAAAAGCCAGGTGTGGGGCTGGAGAGATGGCTCAGCAATTCAGAGCAGTGGCTGCTCTTGCAGAGGACCTGAGTTCAGTTCCCAGCACCCACATGGCGGCTAACAACTGTCTGTAACTCCTGTTCCAGGGAATTGGAGCCTTCTCTGACCTCCCCAGGCATTGTACACACAGGTGCACTTACACACATGCAGGCAAAACACTCAAAATACATAAAATACAAATAAATAAATAAACAAAAATTTTTTTTCAAAAGCTGTATGTGGTGGCATACGCCTTAAATCCCAGCACTCAGGAGGCAGAGGCAGGTGGATCTCTGTGAGATCAAGGCCAGCCTGGTCCACATGGTGAGTTCAAGGCCAGCTGGGGCTGTAGGGCGACCCTGTCTCAAAAAACAAATCAAACAAAGAAAAGCAATAGGGACCAGCAACATGGCTCAGTAGCTAAAGGCGCTTGCCACCAGACCTGAAGCTCTGAGTTCAACCTCCAGGAGCAACATGCAGAGCCATATCTCCAATCTCCAGCCCCTTATGTGGTGTTTTGAGACACAGTCCTCACTCTATAGCTCAGGCTAGCCTCCAACCTGCAGTCCTTCTGCCTCAGCCTCCCGAGTGCTGGGATGACAGTGTGCCCCACTGTGTTCTGCTCCTGGTGGTGGAGTCTATCCGAGGAGCATGAGATCTGGAACAGGGAAAGCAGTCAGGCCATGTGCCCCTATAACAGTCCTGAGTTCCCAGGCTTCGTCCAGCTTTCTTGGGGGACATTTCTGCGGTGGTGGTTCCACTTTGTGGCTGTGAGATAGGGCACCACTGAGAAAACATTCTGGAAGCTTGCCTGGCTTCCCTAGACGTAGCCCCTCCTGCCTCTCCCTGGGCTGTGGAGGGTGTGTGGAGGTCCTGACCGGGCACAGGTGGATAGTGCTGCCCTGCCCCAGCTGAGCAGCACCTTAGGGCCCCTTTGCTCCTGGGTGGGGGTTCAGAGGTCCCCCTCCATGGCTACCACCCCAGGCCTCCCGGGAGCCCCAGAGGATACAGGTCTCGATGTTCGCACCCACAATGTAGCCGGTAACATCGAAGTTGATGCGGATGAATTTGCCCTGAAAGGGAAAGGGCCAGGCTCCAGCCACAGGGCGTCTTTGAAACTCAGACCAAGAATTTCCCCAAACCCAAGTGGCATCCTCCAGCACCACTGATTCTGACTTTCTCCTCCTACCTGAACCCCACACCAGCAGTGAGGCCCCAGCCAGGGCTCTGTGGGGAATCCAGCCTTTGATGTCCAGTTTCAGCAGCCTGGACAGTAGGACTTCCTCTGTCAGACCCAGGGATTCAGACCCCAGCCCTCCTCCTTCAGACCTAGGAGTCTTCCCCATCCCTCCTCCCTCAGACTTAGTCCTCCCCAGCCTCTTTCAGACTTAGAAGTCCTCCCCAGCCTCCTCCCTCAGACCTAAGATACTCCCAGCCTCTTCCCTCAGACCCGGGCATGCACTCCAGCTTCCTCCCTCAGACCCAGAGGTCCAGATCCCAGCCTCCTCCCTGGGGCCCAGGGGTCCTCCCTAGCCTCCTCCCTCCACCCTTCTTCCTCACCCACTCCACCAGCTCCTCCTCACCCCCCCCCCACTCACAAATCGAGAGGAGTTGTCATTCTTCACTGTCTTGGCATTGCCAAAGGCCTCCAGGATGGGGTTGGCCTGTAGAAGCTGGCGCTCCAGCTCCCCCTGCCGCAGGCGGGAAACAGTGCATCAGAGAGGTGCTGAGACAAGGGAGGCGCCTGCCCAGCTGGAGACCAGCATCCCAGGGCCTCTGACAGCCTGTGTGTGGTAGTGGGAGGTGAGGCCAATTCCTACACTTGGGTCCTGCCCTCTGTGTGGGTAGGAAAATGCCTGTTGTTGAGTGCAAGCGAAACCCAACCAAACACAGGGGAACAATGTTGTGGAACAAGTCCTGATCCCATTCATAAACAAATTAATATTAAAAAAAAAAAAAAGCACAGGTGGTGGCACGCCTTTAATCCCAGCACTTGGGAGGCAGAGGCAGGCAGATCTCTGTGAGTTCAAGGCCAGCCTGGTCTACATAGTGAGTTCTAGGCCAGCTGGGGCTACAGGGAGACCCTGTCTCAAAAAAAAAAGAAAACCCAACAACAACAACAACAACAAAAAACCCACAAAACATGGTTATTTGTACAGATATACACAGTTGGAAACATATGGAAGAGGTCTGCAAGGGTTCACACCAGACTGTCAGCAGTGTGAGCTACTGGGAGAGAAGGGCTGAGGGGAAAGAGTAACTGCCCTGTTGACTTTGTGTTTGTTGTGGTAGCTCACACAATCCCATACATATATCTATGAGAAGTGCTTCAAACTGGCGTATAGTGGGCTTCCGATAAATGGCTGTTTCCTTCCAAATCAGGCTGCCCCATGCTAGGATCCTTATTTGGATCTATAGCCTTCAGTATTAGAGCCCAGCACACAGTAGGTCTCAAAATGGCAGCCCGTGTTGGTGTGTGTTCCCTGGATCTATATCAGGTGGGTGGGCATCTTTCATTCATTTTCAAATGAATGAAAGATGCGTATAGCCCAGTCATGGTGGTTTGTAATCCCAGCATTTGGGAGGGTGAAGAAGGCAGGAAACAACACAAGTTCTAGACCAGCCTGGGCTACCGAGCAAGACCCTGACTCAAAAACACAACAAAGAAACAAAAATGATGTGCAAAATGAGGGGTTTACAGGTTGGCCACATGGGAGCTCACTTCTCCAGGTCCGTGTGGGGAAGCGAGTGATCACTGTGTCTGGGAACCTGCACACAGTAGGGCTGCCTGAACAATAGGGGCCCTTCACATAGCTGGATTTCATAAACAGCAGCATGGGACCTGGGTATATGCACACAGTTGGGCTACCATGACTGCTGGTGGGGACCTTTGCTTTGTGTACGCAGTGAGGCTGCATGCACATAGTGGGATTGCATGAAATGGTAGTATGGGGACTGGGCATGCAAACACAGCAGGGTTACCCTGAACAGTTGGAGAGCCTGTCTGTATGCACACAGTAGGACTGCACTAAATGGCAGTATAGGGCCTGGGCATGTGCACACAGTAGGGCAGCCTGAACAATGGGGGGCTGCTACATGCAAATAATAGGACTGCAGTAAGTGACAGCATGGGACTTGGGCACGTAGGCACAGTAGGGCTGCCAGGAATGGTTGCGGGTGTTGACTGCATACACTTAGTAAAACTTTCTGTGGACTTGTTTGCACACAGTAGGGCTGCCATGGACAGCAGTGGAGGCCCTTAGCTTCATGCACATAGGTCTGCGTTGGATGTCAATATGGTCCTGGCATGTACACAATAGGGCCACTAACAGTGGCCCCGTGGGTCCCTGTCTCCCAGACATTCATGGACTGGTGGCCTGGGTGACAAAGGGGTGACGAGACACAAGGGGACGGTCTGTTACTCACATAGGACATGGTGCTGACGGAGGCCTGAGGAAGTCACAGGACACGGGACATGGACCAGGACACAGCACATGGAACATGGACAGACACTCAGGTGAACTGGCAGCCCCAGGGCAGAGTTGGGGCAGAGGGCTCAGGTAACCTCAGGGATCACACGCTTGAAGCCCACTGCACCCCTCCCTGGGTGCCCCACCACCCGAGGGCTTGCCTCAGTGGCTTCGAGTTGGCACTGTCAGTACCCCCTCCCCACAGTGCTAAGTGGCCTCACCAGAGCAAAAAGCAGAGCTCAGAACCTGGGCACAAATCCACAGCCTTTCAAACCCAGACACATGTTACCTAAAACCAAGCCTCAGAAAACCAAGTGCCTAGTATGTGCCTGGCACTACTGCAGAGCCAGCAAGGCCAAGAGCCAGTCTTGCATCTCCATCCCGCCTGCTCTGAGCTCCATGGTGGACACACAGTAGGTGCTCAGGTAGCACAGGCAAACAGAAGGCCTTGTATCAACTATGGATAGGGAGTACAGCCCAAGATGGGGACGCTTGCCGCTGGTGTAGCCCAAGGCCGGGTAGCTTACCGGCACACCGGGCTCCTTTCTGCCTTTGGGAGACGATGCCACGTGGGCCAAGTACTGGATGACCTTCTTGGTATTCTCTGTCTTCCCAGCTCCAGACTCCCCACTGTCGGGGGGAAAGGGGGAAGTGGGGTGGGCAGGAAGACCAGGCAGCCCCTGCCCTGTCCACTCACCCGAGCCACAGCCGGTGGGTCCCTGACCAGTCACAGACCACAGCCGGTGGGACCCTGACCAGTCACAGACCACACCCAGTGGGACCCTGTCCATTCACACAGACCACACCCAGTGGGACCCTGACCAGTCACACAGACCACAGCCAGTGGGACCCTGACCAGTCACACAGACCACACCCAGTGGGACCCTGACCAGTCATAGACCACAGCCAGTGGGACCCTGACCAGTCACACAGACCACAGCCAGTGGGACGCTGACCAGTCACAGACCACAGCCAGTGGGACCCTGACCAGTCACAGACCATACCCAGTGGGACCCTGACCAGTCACAGACCATAGCCAGTGGGACCCTGACCAGTCACACAGACCACAGCCAGTGGGACCCTGACCAGTCACACAGACCACACCCAGTGGGACCCTGTCCATTCACACAGACCATACCCAGTGGGACCCTGACCAGTCACAGACCATAGCCAGTGGGACCCTGACCAGTCACACAGACCACAGCCAGTGGGACCCTGACCAGTCACAGACCACAGCCAGTGGGACCCAGACCAGTCACAGACCACAGCCAGTGGGACCCTGACCAGTCACAGACCACAGCCAGTGGGCCCCGACCAGTCACAGACCACACCCAGTGGGACCCTGACCAGTCATAGACCACAGCCAGTGGGACCCTGACCAGTCACACAGACCATACCCAGTGGGACGCTGACCAGTCACACAGACCACAACTAGGGGGACCCTCTGCCTCTGAAGCCCTTTGGATGACTCACGTGCAGAGAATGGACTGATCCTCTCGATCTGCAGGGTACAGAAGGGAGATGACATGTCACCTAAAGCTTCTCTTGTCCCCGACCCCTTCCACTTCACAAAATCATTGGGGAGCCATAAGGAAATGATTAGGTTTTGATGTAGGACCCTCCTGGATTCAAACACTCCACCATGACTAAACCTCTTGCTTGCGCTGCGACCCTGAAAAAGCAGCTGTCCCTCTCCGAGCCTTTATTTCCTCATCTGTAAGATGGAGACCACAAAACCCAACTAAACAGACTGCAATTTACCTGCCAACCCCAATTTGAGTTCCTACTGTGTGCCATGTCACAACATAGCAGGGTATTAGAGACTCAAAGTTTGGAGAGCCAGGTCCTGGATCTTTGGGTTTAGCCTAGATAAAACATGCCTACTCCGACAGCCAACCTGGGTCTATATCACCATCTTACCATAAACACTGACCACCTACTAAGTGCCAGGCCCTGTTATGAACACAGAAAGGAACATAGAATCACAGAACCATGACAGAAAATCTGGGGTCACAGGAAGTGACTGGGGCTGGGGTGGCCAGCAAGGCGTCATGGAAAACGTGCCATTTCAGGCAAAAGCTCAGAGTAAGAGGCCTTTGGGAAGTCTTTTTTTTTTTTTTAAAGTTATATTGGTACTTTATGGGTATGTGTATTTGCCTGCATGTATGCAAGTCCACCACTAGTGTGCTGTACCCACAGAGGCCAGGAGAAGGCATCAGATCCCCTGGAACTAGAGTTTTAGATGGTTGTTAACCTCCATGTGGATGCTGGGATCCACCCCCCCTGCAGAACTACCCGTACACTCACCCTGGAGCATGCTGCGGTATGCGCCCTCCGTCACTGCATACACGTGGGGTGGCACCTCGTGCCGCTTCTTGCCCCGGTACATCTCTACAATGGCCTCCGTGTAGATGGGCAGCTGCTTGTATGGATTGATGACCACGCAGAAAAGGCCAGAGTAGGTCTAGGGTAGACAAGAGGAAAGAGCACGTCGGTGCCTGCCTTTCAGCAGAGAGCACAGCGGGGCTGTGGTGGACAGTGAGGTGGCCTTTGTGCTCCCAGATGGAATCTGTGCAAGGCTCCACGTCAACAGAGGTTTGAAATTTGTGGATTTTGTCTTTTACTTATAGATTTGTGTGTGTATGAATGTTTTGTCTGCATATATGCAAGTGTACCATGTGCAGGCAGTGCCCACGGAAGCCAGAAGAGGGCATCGGATCTGTTGGAACTGGAGTTATGGATGGTTGTTAGCCACCATGTGGGTGCTGGGACTGAACCTGGGTTCACTGCAAGAGCAGCCAGTGCTCTTAACCACTGTATTTTGAGCCTGAGTCTCACTCAGTAGCCCAGGCTGGAACTTACAGCAATCCTCCTGCCTCAGCCTCCCCAGCTTCTAGGATTACAAGCATGAGCCACCAGGCCTATTATAATATTTCTAACACTTTTAGGTTAACAATAGATATGAATCTTTTCAGTGTGTGCAGAGGGGCTGTGTGGGTGATGGTTCATCACAGAGAATGTGGCATGGCAGCTGGCATTGGGTCATAGGCCTGTGCTGCCCTGACAGACACATGGGAGGGTCACATGAATCATCTGTTATATAAATGCATGCACGCCTGTCATCCCAGCACTGAGAAGGCTGAGGCAGGGGGATTGCCATGAGCTCTAGGCCAGGCTGGGCTAGAGAATGAGACCCTGTCTCACAAAAACAAAGGGCTGGGGATGTGGCTTAGTGGGTAGAGTCCTTGCCTAGCATGCACAAAGCCAGGGATAAACTCCAGCACAGCATAAACTAAGTATGGTGGAACACGCCTGTCATCCCAGCCTTTCAGGAGGTGGAGGCAGGAGGGTTGGGAGTTCAAGATCACCCTCAGCTACATATGGAGTTTGAGACAGGTCTGGGCTACATGGGACCCTCTCTCAAACATCAAAGAAGCTGGGCATAGTGAATCACACTTTTAATCCCAAGGTAGGTGGATCTCTGTGAATTCCAGGCCAACCTGGTCTACACAGCAAGTTCCTGACCAACCAGAGCTACTTATGAGACCCTATCTCAAAAAACCCAAAACAAACAAAGAAACAAAATCCAAAAGACAAAACCAAAGAAATAAACAATCAAAACATGGGGGACGGTGGGGGTGGGGGGACTCAGGTGTGGTGGCGCAGCCCTATAATCTGTGCACTCTGGAGGCTGGGGCAGGAGGATTGCTGTGAGTTTTGGGCCACCCTGAGTTGCAGAGTGAGATTCACTAAGCAGCGGTGACCAGACAGCTAAAGAATTAGTCCCTTAGCTAAGGTAACAAAACAGCTAGCTAGCCAAACTAGCGGAAAACAGTCAGCTGAAGAAGCCAGGCGCAGCTGAGTAGTTAGGACAGTCAACAGTTTGCTGGCAAGCTAGTGGGTCTCTGCTCTTCCCACCTGGCTCCCTTAGGGTGTGGCCACCAGGCCGCCAGGCTCCCAGGTGTCACCTCCTCATGGAGGATGGAGGGGGTGGGGCAGCAGGCTACAAGCCGGGCAACCGGTTGGCCTGGTGTCTGTCTCCCCAGCCTGCCAGTCTGTTCCCGCTGGGCTCCCTAAGCTCTCAGGGTGAGGCAGCCAGACCACATTCCCTGGGAGGGTATCTCATGGCCACTGGCGCCAGCCCCCACACCCACTGGCCCAGGAGCCCACTCCCCAAGCCACCCCCATGCCAGACCCTCAGGCAAGACACACCCTGCTCCCAGGTGACACCCAGGATGGAAACCTGAGCTGGCCAAATAGGCCACGGGGAGAAGGGAAGAGGCCCCAGTGCCTAGAGAGGGGTGCCTGGAAGGGATGCCCAGCCCCAGGGGCCCCAGGGACAGGCTTGCCCCTTCCATAAGTGGAGGACTTTCCCTGTCTGGCTTCCTCTGGGAGAAAGAGACAGCCTGCCTCATTACAAAGGCCAGGGATTAAGTTGAGAATGAAAGTTAACCAGCAGGCCAATGGGGCCCCACCTTGCTCTCCAAACAAGAGGCTGGGAAGACGCTCACATTACAGGCCCACCTGGGAGCCAAAGCCGGCTGGGCTTGAATGCCACGCTGTCCTGTCCTACGTCGGAGGAGGCCAGAGGCCAGGTTCCCAGCTGTGTGCCGCTTCTTAGGAAGACCTGGCCCGCTTAGAGGCTCAGTGACCGCCAGGTCTGGTGGCACAGGCCAGGCATCCTAGCTACTGAGGAAACGGAGGCAGGAGGATCACAAGGCTATAGTAGATCCTTAGAGAGATCCTGTCTCAAAATAAAAAGCAATGAGAGCTGGGGGTGTGGCTCAGCGGTAGAGCCCCTGCCTAGGATCCCCCCGTGAGGGGCTGGGGTGTGGCTCAGTGGTAGAGCCCCTGCCTAGAGTCCCCCAGTGAGGGGCTGGGGTGTGCTCAGTGGTAGAGTTACTCTGGGTTTGATTTCCAGTGCTATAGGGGGAAAAAAAACCCTCAGATCCCAGTCCTGGATAATGGGGCTTTCAGCCTCTGTTACTTGGCAGGGCTCTAACAGCAAAACTCTCCTGTGTCCCACATAGCAGAGAGCTCCTTATACAATCATTGACCCTCCCGTGTCCCCCACCTCTACAGTCCCAGTGAAGGACCAATTCCCTTAAGAACTCCAGGCCAAGTAAGTTCTCAGTGGTGGGAATCAGGCTCTGGGACTTCACCTTATAGTACTCTCCTTACAGTTAGTCAACAAACATACAATAAGCATGGGACGCCAGACAGGGATAGAAGTCTCAATCACATTGCCACCACTTTCTGGCTGGGTGAGCCCAGCAAGCAGTGCTTCCACTACTGTCTCCATCACATGGGGATAAGAACAGTGTTTACCACCAGGGGAGGCTGGGATCCAGGCACAAGATCATGTGGCTGGCTGGACACCTAGCAGAGACCCCCAAAGTACTGTGTGTGATTGGTCTGGCAGACGTCATCAGCTTGTGTTGGGCCAGGCTGGGGGAAAAGAGGAGCCAACCCCTACGTCATGGCCTGATGTGCATGACTGATAGGCATGGGGAGGGTAACAAGGTCCCCCCAGGGAAAAGCTCAGACCTGTACCCAGCTGAGGAGCTGTGTCCACAGCATGCTAATGAGGGGCACCCATGGGCACTCAACATTCCCGAAAGTCTGGTGACATCAATAGCCCCTGTCGGGAAGCCAGCCCATCGCTCAACAACTGCTCTCAGAACAGGGCCTGGCACACCGTAAGTGCTTCATAAATATTTACCACCCCACCCCCCATTTTTTAACATCATTGCTGCTGACATTCTTTGTGGAACTCTCTAATCCTGTTTGCACTCTCTTTAACAGCTTTAATCACGCCTTGGCTGCCCAAGACACACCCTAGAAGCTAATTAAGACAAAACACACAAAAAAGCTATGCCCATTTCACCCCCACTTCACCCCAGAGTCCATGCTGGTGCTGTGAGGCAGGGCACAGTCATTCTAGAGAATTCCCTGGGTGACTCTACCATGTGGTATCCCACCTGTGTGCTGTGCAGACATCACAAATGGAAAAGGGGCTGGAGTGATGGCTCAGGGGTTAAGAGCACTGGCTGTTGCTGCAGAGGACCCAGGTTCAATTCCCAGTACCCACATGGCGGCTGACAACTGTCCCTAACTCCAGTTCTGGGGGACTCTGACTCCCTCTTCTGACCTCCGTGGGCATTGCATGACACAGGTGCACTTACATGCAGGCAAATACACTCACACACATAAAAATAAAATAGAAATAAACAGGATGTGGTGGCATTCTAGGGAGACCCTGTCTCAAAAAGACATGTGTATATATATTTATATTTATATATGTATAAATAATTAAAAACAAAAACAAAAATGGAGGAAAAAAGCTGGCAGCCCACCTTAATCAACCTCAGATTCATCAATGTCACCTCATTGTTTTTGTTTTGAGACAGGGTCTTACACTGTAGCCCAATTGGTCTCAAAGTCAAAATCCTCCTGCTGGGGTACAGAAGATGGCTCAGCAGGTAAAGGCACTTGCCTCCAAGCCTGATGACTGGAGTTCAATCCCCAGGACCCATGTGGTGGAGGGAGACCACTCCTGCAAATTGTCTTCTGACCAATGCACACATACACATGCCCTGGCACATGACTCCCCCAACAAATACATGTCATAAACTTTTCTTTTAATGAAAGCTCCTCCTGCCTCCTTCATGATTGGCTAAATGTCAGTTTCTATTGTTATTGACTTACTCTGGGCCTCAATTGCCTCTTAGTAAAATGGGGTTAACAATGCCACTGCCGGCCTAAAGGAATTAAACAAATTAACAGGGACAGTGCATCCTCAGTGCACATCAATTCTCAGTCAGTATTACTAGTCAAAAATAAAATGAGGTGTCCACCACACAGGACACCCAGCCAGGTAGGAGCTGGCTCTGCTCTTCCAACAATACATAGGGACAGGCCTGTCACCCCTGCCACATGGATGCTGAGACAGCAAGAGCCCAAGTCAAAGGCCAGCCTTGGATATGAGAGGAAAACCCTGACTCAAAGTAAGAAATAAAAAGTGGTCTTGGGCCATGGATCGAATCAGGGGTAGGGTGTCTGTCTAGATGCCCCTAGTGAGGGGCTGGAGTGTGGCTCAGTAGTAGAGCCCCTGCCTAGAATTCCCCAGTGAGGAACTGGGGTGTGGCTCAGTGGTGGAGCCCCTGCCTAGAATCCCCCAGTGAGGGACTGGGGTGTGGCTCAGAGGTAGAGTCCCTGCCTAGTGTCCCATTTCATAACAGGCAAAGCATTATGAAACGGCACTATTAGAGGGGCAGTCAAGGAACCAGGGGTGAATACTCTAGACAGTTCCCTGTTCATTCAGGTCAGGTTGGTGACACCCAGCCAACCCCCATGCATACCACTCACATAGATGAGCCCCGAGTAGTAACGCTCCCGCAGGTTGTGCAGGACAGAGGCCTCGTTGAGACAGGTAAGTTCCGCCATGTCCTCCGCCTTGCTGAACTTGGGTGGGTTCATACGCTGGATCTGGTCCCTGGGCAGCCGCAGCCGCCGCCCACTCTCCGCCAGCTCCACCTCAGCCTCTTCCTCCCCTTCATCACGCAGGGCTGCAGCCTCGAACCCGTGTAGCTCTGAAGGCACCCACACCAGGCGCCGCGCTGTCCACTCCACCTGAGGCCCTCCAGGGCCACCCATGCTTGGTGTGTGGGGTGTGAACAGGTACGGCTGGGCTGCTTCGGGCACTGGGCCTGGCTTGGGGGCTACCTTCCGCCCAGGCATGGACAGGGTCATGGCAGCCATGGTCTGTGGGAAGAGTGGACATATGAGTTGGAGCTGTCCGCCATAGCCACCTGCCTGCCTTCCGTCTCTGACTTTTCTAGTACTGGGGCTTGAACCCAGGGCCTCAGACATCCTAGGCAAGCAGTCTAGCGCTGAGCCACACCTCCAGTCCCTCACTGGGGGATTCTAGGCAGGAGCTCTACCACTGAACTACACCACCAACTTTCTTTTTACTTTTTATTTTCAGACAGGGTCTCACTAAGTTGACCAGCCTGGCCTTAAACCCACTCTGCAGCCCAGAGTGGCCTTGAACTTGGGATCCTCCTGCTTCAGTCTACAGTAGCTGGGATAGCAGGTTCATGCCACCTGTTGGCTTTTAAAGGTTTATTTATTTGGGGGCTGGAGAGATGGATCAGTGTGGTTAGGAGCACTGGCTGTTCTTACAGAGGACCCATGCTCAATTCCCAGTACCCACGTGGAGGTGCACAAATCATCTGTAAGTCTGAGGGCACCAGGCACTCACATTGTGCACATACATATACATAAGCAAACACTCATATGCATAAAATAAATAAATTTTTAAAAAGATTTTTTTATGTGTTTATGTGTGTGTTTACATGAGTTTATATGTACCATGTGTGCACGTACCTTGAAGCCCCTGGAACTGGAGTTACAGGTGGTTGTGAGTCACCTGATGTGGGTGCTGGGAACTGAACCTAGGTCCTCTGCAAGAACAGCCAGTGCTCTTAACCACTGAACATGTGTGTCACTTTTTTAAAAAATATTTTATTATTTTTATTTTATGTGTATGAGTGTATTGCCTGCATGTGTGTAAGTTTGCCCATGTCATGAAATATCCATGGACGTCAGAAGAGGGCATCAGATCCCCTGGAACTGGAGTTATGGATGGTTGTTAGCTACCATGTGGATGCTGGGAATCGAACCCAGATCCTCTGCAAAAGTAGCCAGTGCTCTTAACTGCTGAGCCATTTCTCCAGCCCCATGTGTCACTTTTAAATAATGGCTTGAGGTGAAATGTTGGAAGCTTTTGGAATATTAGGAAGAAAGGCATTCCAAAGGGTCTGTGCAAAGGTCCCTCCGTCTACAGCCCTGGGAAGAGGCTGGAGGTGTGCAAAGTGGGTGAGAGGTTAGGTACAAAGAAGTTATGATTTGCTTAAGGCTCTGAGATGGGAGCCCAGAGAGGACATGGGTCTGACTTCTGTCAGCAAGGTCTCTGGCCACCCCTGGTCCCGCCAGCCCCAGGCCTGCGGGACAGTCCTGAGGCCCTCCTCCTCTGGTTTCATCCATTCACTTTATTCAGTCTACGTTTCAGAGGCCTTTCAAATCTCTGACTCGGGAACTTGTCAATGAGTCAGCTGGGACCCTGGCCTTGAGGAGGTCTAGAGGCACCAGCCCGGCCTCGGACTCTCTAAGGAGAACTGGGAGCTTCCAGCAGGCAGGCAAGGTGTCTCGGGGTGTCTGGTCCCCTCCCTGCCTTCCAGGGCTGTAGACTAGAGAACACAGCAATTTCAAAACTGTCCAATGTGTGAGGAAACACGTCCCTCACCAGTCACTCCTGCTGGAGGTGGCTTCACTGTCCGGCTCCCTCCTGTGTGTGCCTCATCCCTACCATCCCCCAGCCAAAGAACTCTGGAGTATCCCTGTACCCATCTCCCCACACTATCACCTCTCCACACCAGGCCACCCTCACCTCCTATACACACCTGGGGAGATCTACCCAAATAGTACCCAGCTTGCCCAAGCCCCTCTATACACATCTGGTCCCCACAAGCTTGCCCCAGGAGCCTCTCCCACTAGCAAATAAATAGCCTCTGCCTTAGGGCCTCTCCTCACACCCACCAGCACGGATATCTGGATTCCGGCCACTCCAGCCCCACCTCCTCCAGTGCTGTGGGGAGTGAAGCTCTGGCCCCTCTATGTAGAGCAAGCAGTGTAGGGCACTGTCCACCCTGAACCCCAAAAGGCCAAGGATCACCTGAGGCTCCAGTGTGGCAGATAGACCCAGAGCCAAGCTCCATCCCAGGGACTTTACCCGGCCCCACCCACCTGCCTTCCTCTCCAGCCCTGTGGCCTTTGACCAGGAAGGTTTCAGGAGGATTTGTAATGGCCCTGCCCCAGATTCCCCTGAAGCTAGGGGAGCCCCCAGCCTGGCTACCTTGGACACAGCATCTTACTGCAGCCTGGTTAGAGGTCAAGGTGTGGGGTTCAGGGAACTGACCCCTAGAAGGTGGGCCTCAGGCCTGGCCACAAATGTCTGCACCTCAGCCACACCCCCTCCCTCAGGCAGCAGGAATGCGGTGCCAGGGCTCATTAGTGTCACCCAGGCAGGGGAGAGCCACCTGCCCAGAGAGGGGCAGTTAGAGCTGTAGAGACTGAGCAGTCATGGCCCTGCCTGGGCAGGGCTGGGGTGGGCCAGCTGCTGACCTCAGCCTATGGGTGGGAGCCAGTCCTCCCTCAGACCCAGGGGTCCAGACCCCAGCCTCATCCTTCAGACCCAGAACAGAGGTCCAGACCCCAGCCTCCTCCATCAGACCCAGGGGTGCAGATACCAATCCTCTTCCCTCAGACCCAGGGGTCTAGACCTTACCCTCCTCCCTCAGACCCAGGGATCTAGACCCCAGCCTCCTCCCTAGGACTCAGGGATCTAGACCCCAGCCTCCTCCCTAGGACCCAGGGGTCCAGACTCCAGTCCTCCTCCCTCAGACCTAGGATCCTGACCCCAACCTTCTTCTTCAGACCCAGGGATCCTCCTCAGCCCTCCTCCCTCAGACCCAGGGGTCTACACTCCAGCCTCCTCTCTTAAACCCACAGATCCTTACCAGTCCTCCCCCCTCAGAACCAGGGATCCAGACCCTAGCCTCCTCCCTTGGACCCAGGATCCTGACTCCAATCTCCTCTCTCAGACCCAGGGGTCCTCCCCAGCCCTCCTCCCTCTGACTTGGGGTATCTGGCCGGCCCCTCTCCGGGACCCTGTATCCTAATCTCCCGTCCCCCTCTCTCCCGGAACCCCTCGGCTACCTGGGTTCCAGGCGGTGGAGATGGGGAGGCCGCGGAGTCCGATCCTCCTGGAAAACTCAGGTGAGGCCGGCTCCGCGGTCCAGAGAGGGGCGGGGCCTCGCGCGTCAGGGGGCGCGGCCGGGCTCTGACGTCACCTGGCACCTGCCGGGCTGGGTGAGGGGCGGGGCCCGGCGCGGCTGCCAGCCGAGACTCAGCCAGTTGCCGGGTAGACGGGGCGGCGGGCAAAGGTGAAGGCCTGGCAGGGAGCAGCGGGCTGCGCATGTTCAGGGTTCGAATCCCGCCCAAGCCCTCTGACCTCCGCTTTCCTCGCTAGGGATTGCAGCTCACAAAATTAATAAAATGATATACAGAAGGAGGACCCGGGCCATGGCTTTATCATCCCTGGAAATGGGGCAATGTCCAAATGGCGTGGTGGCCCGGGGCGCGCTTCGGCCTCCTTGGGAGTGATCAGGAGACGCAAGGTGGAGTACCTATCACCAGCTGGGTGCTGTTCTTAGAACAGCTATTAGAGTTCAAACTTACACAGCAGCTTTTCCTTTCTTTTTTGTTTTTCTGATACAAGGTATCAAGTAGCCCAGGCGGTCCTGGAATTCACTATGTAGCCAAAGCTGGCCTTCAAATCCTGGGATGACAGGTGTGTGCCACCAAGCCTGAGTATCGCTATGCTATTTGCAAGGCCACATAGCCAGGCACAGGACTGGTCTTCACGTTGTGTTCTCCACTGGGGTCCCTGCAGTCCCCACCTTGGCCCCAGTGTCCACCGACCCCACCCTCTGGGAAGGGGACTCACTTAACCCACCTTGAATTTATGTGCCCACAAGAGGAAAGGATCTTGGTTAAAAATGAAAGGACTCAAGTGCACCACAGGTCTGCAAATATGGCACTCTAGCTAGGCTTTGGCACAGGCCTGTCACCTCAGCACTTGGAAGGCTCAGTCAGGAAGTTAGGGAGTTCCAGGCCAGTCTGGACTCCAGAGGTAGTTCCAGGGCAGTCTGGGCTACACAGTGAGAACCTGTCTCAAAAGAACAAAATCAAAACCTGGCGTGATGGCGCTCGCCTTTAATCCCAGCACTTGGGAGACAGAGGCAGGTGGATCTTTGTGAGTTCAAGGCCAGCCTGGGCTACATAGCGAGCTACAAGCCAGTTGGGGCTACAGGGAGTCCCTATCTTAAAAAGACACCCCTTCAAAAAGAACAAAGTCAAACCAAACTCAAACAAGCGCCCACCCAACGTGTCCCTCCGCCCCCAACGTGTCCCTCTGCCTCTACCTGCCATGGACCTGGCAGCTTTACCCCGACAACAAGACACAGTCATCCTGGGGGATGTGAGAGTGGAGGCCATGACTCAGATGCCCCATCACAGCACGTTCCCGACCTCAGCCTCAGTTTCCCCTTATGCAGAGCAGAGCCTGTGGTACCACCAGCAAGGCCCCCAGCTAGCTTGGGCTGGGTGACTGCGACTTCCCTTCTCTCCCTGGCCACTGTCCCCATGGCATGGTGCGTGGCACCCCACTTGGGCGCCCCGTCCTGGCCACTCTCCACTGGTACCCCACTTGGGCACCCCGTCCTGGGCACTCTCCACTGTCACCCCCACTTGGGCGCCCTGTCCTGCCCACTATCCACTGTCACCCCACTTAGGTGCCCTGTCCCAGCCCCTTCCAGAGCTCAGATCGCAGTCCCAGGACGGCCCTCGGGGCCGCGGACACTCACCAGCTTGTCCAGGGCTATCCAGAGGCCTCGGCCTGGGGAGAAAGAGGGGCGGGGCCTGTCCAGGAGCGCCCCGCCCACAAGAGCGCAGCGCGGACCAATCATCGCCCTCTGTGGCATGCCCCGGCCTCGCCCCTGAGGCGCAGCGCTGACCAGTGGAGAGGGGAGGTTGGTGCGCCGGACCAATCAGAAGTTAGCGAAGCGTGCCAGGCGTGGGAAAAGAACCTGGCCCGGGACGCGCGGCCTGGGGCGGGGCCTGAACCTGATGGGCAGCGGGAGGCACCAATGGGGAGGCGTAGGGAGAGGCCCGGCACCGCAGGTCGGAGGGGACCGGGTGAATGGGCCGCTTTGTAGACCCGCATGAATGCAGCCTTTGTGCGCGCCCGCGTGGGGGGCAGCGGGAGGCCTGGGTCCCCCGGGAACCTGCGCAGGGCGCACCCCAGGGAGAATTCGTCTTTGTGGACCGCAGACGGTGCATCCAGCCCTATCCAGGTGGGTGGCGATAGCAACCGAAAGAAGGATCATTTATGGAGGGCCTGGTGTATACAAAGCGCGGCTCTCAGCTTGACCAGGGTCTGCAGAATTGTTGGTACTTAATTCCGGCTGGGGCTGGGGCTCCGTCAGGAGAGGCTTGCCTAGCATACGCAAAGCCCTAGGTTCCAACCCCAGCGCCCTGTAAACTGCCTGTTGTGGCGCACGTCTGTCATCCCAGCCCTCGGGAAATGGAGGCTGGAGGATCAGGGATTCAAGGTCACCCTCAGCTATATAGAGAATTCTTGTCTAGCCTGGGCTACATGACCCTGTCTCAAAAAAACAAAAAAAACCCAACCACATTTTAGGGTTCACACCTGTCATCCCAGCATTTGGGAAACTGAGGCACGAGGATTGCTGTTTGAGGCCAGCCTATGCTAGGGCTACGCAGTGCGATGGGTCAATTTAGTGTGATGCTGTCTGAAAATACAGAAAGAAAGCCCGAGGACACAGCTCAGACCACTTCCCTAGCATGCATGAGGCCCAGAGTTCAAAGTGCAGTACTGCAAAAATAAAAATGAATAAAGTCTACCTGGCTGCCCGTGATGTCATCAGTGCCACTCACCGTCTCTACCTTTCTAGAACCTGGAGGTTCTGCTCAGCCTAGAGGGAAACTGAGCTACTGGTCAGTCCTAATATCACACTCATTTTACAGCTGCAGACACTGAGTCACAAGTTTGTTTTCACTGTACAACCAGAGAACAGTTAAGGCCCAGAGAATCAAGTCCAAAAGGAGCATCCCCCTGCCTTGGAAACCTCCAGCCATCCTCCATCCTTGAGGTAAAACCCCAACTGTCTCCTTGGAGGCCTAGATCTCCCTACTATCCTCAGGATGGCCACCGTCACATTGTGAGCTCTTGACTATGAGGTCTGCTCCCTCTGGGAGTCCAGGTGCCGAGGTGGTTGGGATATACCAATGTGTGTGTCCAGGGAGGAGGAAGTTTTAACAAGGAAGCTTCCTGAGTTCCCAGGGCCACCACACAGTTCTTGGCATGACCCGGGTCTGCAGAGTTTTAGCTGGCAGGAGCTAAGATGATATACCAAAGATGTGGCTTGGCTGGTGGAGCCCTTGTCCACGAAGCCCTGCCTTCCATCCCCAGCACTGGGGTGTGGTAGTGCAGGAGGTGGGGCTAGGAGAGTTCAGGGTTACCCTTGCTTGTGAATCCAGTTCAAGGCCAGACTGGGCTATGTGAGACCCTGTCTCAGAAAAATAAAAAAAAGAAAATTTGGAACTGAGAAATCAATGCTGCACAGAGATGTCATCTCACAGAATGGCCACTACCAAGAAAACAAACACTGAGCCAGAGGGATTGCTCAGCAGGTGAAGGTGCTTGTCCCCAAGGCTGACAACCTGAGTTCAAGACCTGGAACCCAGAAGGCAGAAGCTGTCCTCTGACTTCCACATTGCTCTGAGGCATGCGTGCACCCACCTGACCCCTCTAAATAAATAATAAATATAATTTCCAAATTAAGAAAAACAACAGATACTGGCAATGAGGTGAGGAAGGAGAAGCCACTGCTGGACTCAAAAGTCTAAAAACAGGCTGAGGGGCTGGAGAGATGCTCAGCAGTCAAGAGCACTGGCTGCTCTTGCAGAGGACCTGGGTTTGATTCCCAGCACCCACATGGCGACTATGAATTGTCCTTAACTCCAGTTCCAGGAGACTCTGAAGCCCTCTTCTGACCTCCGCAGCATTGCACGACACGGGTGCACTCACATACATGCAGACAATACACTCATATACATAAAATAAAAACAATAAAAAAAAAAACGGGCTGAAGAGCTGGCTCAGCAGTTAACACTGGCTGCTCTTGCAGAGGAGCGGGGTTCATTTCCCAGCACCCACATGGCAGTTAACAGACATCTGTAACTCCAGTTCCAGGGGATCCAAGGCCCTCTTCTGATCTCTGTGTGCATTACACACATGTAATATATACATATAGGCAAAATACATATACACATAAAATAAAAATAAATGAATATGGAACTGGAGAGATGGATCAGTGGTTAGGAGCACTGGCTGCTCTTGCAGAGGACCCAGGTTTGATTCCCAGCACCCACATGGCAGCTAATGTCAGTAACTCTAGTTCCAGGGGATCTGACAACCTCTTCTGGCCTCTGTGCTTTTGCACATATATGATATGTTTACATACATGCAAAACAAAGCAAAACACTCATAAAAAATTAATAAAAATTTTAAAGTAAAAATACATAAAATGCTGGGTGTGGTGGTGCACACCTTTAATCCCAGCACTTGGGAGGCAGAGGCAGGCAGGTCTCTGTGAGATGAACCTGGTCTACATAGGGAGTTCCAGGCCAGCTGGGGCTACAGGGAGACCCTGTCTCAAAAAGACCAAAACAAACAAACAAACAAACAAACAATTTTTTTAAAAAAAATCTTAGAATAGTGTAGCCCAGCACTCAGGACACAAAGTAAATTGGAGCAGCCTGGTCTACATACTAAGTTCCAGACTAGCCAGGGCAACACAGTAAGACCCTGTCCCAAAAAAAACAAAATAGGGCCAACAAGATGGTTCAGTGGGTAAAAGTGCTTGCTGCTAAACCTGATGACCTGAGTTTGGACCCCTTGTGGAAGGAGAGATCAGACTGCAGAGAGTTGTCCTCTGACCTGCACTCATATACCATGTCAGAATATGTGCACATACTAATAATAAATGCTTTAAAAAAGAAAACAGACTAAAAACAGGGCTGGAGAGCTGGCTCAGCAGTTAAGAGCACTGGCTGTCTTGCAGAGGACCCAGGTTCGATTCCCAACACCCACATGGCAGCTAACAACTGTCTGTAACTCCAGTTCCTGGGGATCCGACACCT